CACAACCCTGAGATCGTGACCCGAGCCGAAATCAAGAGGCAGGTGCTTAACTGACTGAGCCACCCAGGCGCCCCACAGCTCAGACTCTTAAGGGACATTTTCTTTCCTTTGTTCAGACCATGATGGCTCAGAACTCTTTTGACAGCAGAGAAAATAAAGATTTAAAAAATCTACTTGATTGAAAAGACTCAAAACAAGTCTAAAAAGCTTAGTATATAGAATCTATATTATTCCCCCCAGGTTTAACCTTTCCTACTTTTTGCTAAAATACCCTCAAACATTCAATTTGATTAATAATGCATTAATTTCAGTAAATTTTTTTCTTTTTAATTGACCTTCAACAAGATAAATAAAATCTAGCAAGGTCTGGGAAGATAATCATGAATGAGGTGAAGAGGCTTGCTACTTACTATTCAGATAAATTTGAACAGTTATAAAATACATATAAACTAAATTAAAATTAAAAATAAAACTTCATAGGTGTACTCTACCACTATTTAGAAAGATCTGTTAGCTCCCACATAAAGATGAACATTATATTTAGTTATCTCTTCTTCCCAAAAGTCCCTTGTTCTCCTTCTTCCTCAGGGTTCCAAGAGAATCCTGGATTTTCCTCTTGTAGGGATTACTTCATGAAGTCAAACCATTTCAAATAAATTGATCTCCCACAGTCATTAGCATATGGTTACTGACTACTTACTTTGCATGGTCTGACGTGTCAGAGATTTCATATACTGTATAAAACACAGTTTCTGTCCTTTAGCTGGGGACATCTGCAAAGCAAGCATGTGGTAAGGCACAAATGTGCACATGCTCACACCGAGGCCACGTTAGTTGCAGCGCATGGTACAGGGAGTAAGCAGTGTGTGTGTGGAAAAAATGTGGGTCCTGATAGCATAGCTACGGGGGCAAGCTTCCGGGGAAAAATAGCACCAGGCTCTTAAGGGAAAGTAGGACTTAAGTGAGAGAAAGAGGATGAAAAGCCGAAAAAGGAAAAGGCAGAAAGGCAAGTAGCAAAGACAGAATGAATGTACTAGTTTGGCAAAAGCCTTCATTCAGGGCATTCTAAGAGTAAAACTTGGGAATGGAGAGAAAGTGTCAGATGTGGAGCATCAAATTGCAGAAGGCGGTTGATAATGTAACATGTTCTGTTCTCCAAAAATAATTTGTTAAGAAGCATTAACCCATAGCTATTCCACTCTTCTAAAGCTTCAAAACATCTCTACCAGTCCCAGGAATATGTCTACTTCTCCGACGTCACCATTTGGATTTGGATTTTACCATTTTGGAGTGGAGTAAAAAGACTAAACCAAGTTCAGTTTCCTGAATCTAAGGACACTTACGTTCTTGGATTCAATAAGCAAAATGGTGAACATACCATTTTCCCTCTTAAGCCTACCCTCTTGTGACTTCTATTTCTCTTTGAGAGCTTCAAGGTTGCTATGATTTCTCCTAATTCCCCTCTTTGTCCCCAGCATTTCAGTGGGTTGTCTTGTCTGTTCCTTTTTTCCACAGCCCTTCTTGATTCCTTGCTCTCCGTGCTGTCTTGTACTTAGCTCAGGCGCTGCCTACCGCAAGAATTCATCTGCTGCTCTCAGTCTCTGTATCTCTCTTCTGTTCTCTAGTCTCTCCGAACTCCTGAGATCCTACCACCTGTGAGGGTCTTTCAGCCCACTCCCAGATTACTCTTCCTAAAGCACAGTCTGACAGTGTGAAACTCAAGCTCCTAACATCACCAGGCTTCATACCGACTAAGACAAACACTGCAGCTTGATGTTTAAGACCCTCACCAGTCTACTGCCACCACTTCATATATTCTAAGTTCTATTTTTCTTTTTATATTCTAAATTCCTATCAAACCTAATACTCAATGTTTTCTAGGCATAGATCATGAATTCCTGTTCTGGGCTGGTATTATTCATATGAATTGTTAATTATCTATAACCTCGGATAACATTTTTTTTTCCTCAAACATCTCTTATCCTGCTGACTCTGACTGAGTAACCTGCTCCCTACCATTAATTTCTGTCTCATATGGTTTCCTTTTGTGGATTGGCTTACTTCATGAATTATAAGAGGGGGTGAGAGGAAAAGGAAAAGGATGGCCAAGGAAACTAACCACATGTTTATGGAATGCCTTAAGAAAGGCATTAAGATGTGAAATATCTTAGCATTATTTTTAGTTTCATTTAGAGTAACAATGAGGTATTTCAAGATATAATATAACTGTGTACACAGCACTATGAGGGACATGGGGAGGAATCACTATCTTTCAGGCACTCATTTCATTGGAAAGAATCCTATGAGGTAGACAATATTATTACTTACCTCATTTTCGGTAGAGAAAAATGAGGAAAGAAATGAATCCTCCTCAGTGACTAAGTGCTAAATCTGGAATTGGAACCCCTACCATCTGTCCCAAGAGCCCAAATACCGGAAGCCGGAAGCCTTTCTGCCTCTCCCTCGCTATTCCATTAGTGTAACTACTCCCCTCCAAAAACAAGGACCATGGCTTCAATTCAGGGCACATAAGCATGCAGTTTTCAATGTTCTCTAACAATTCTTTCACTTCTGTTTAATTTTCAAAGTATACTGAAGTGTATTTAATTATATGCAGCCCAATTTTGATGGAGAGAATAAGATAATATTTTTCCTTTGTCTCATCATGTACATAAAATGCTTAATATTCTTTAGGTACAAGCATATTAAAACTCTATAAGGAGGAAGATACAGAATACTGAAATGACATTCCATCAATAATATTTTATGTCTAATATACAAAAAGTTAACGATAGCAGAAACAGATTCAAAGAATGAATGACAACTCGATATTTTGCAAGATAATTAAAATTTTGATTATAATTTATATAATTTAGGAAAAGACCCAATTCAGCCTTCCTCTAATTTTTGTCTTTTTCCAAAATCCACTCACAATAAGCCAAGGGAAGCTTTCCTTATACCTCTCTATGGAAAATACAGATAAATGTTTTTCACATGCACTAATTCACAGGAGCAGAAAACGTATGATATGCTGACTACAAACATTTTAGTTTTATAAACCCATCAGGCATTAAATCTATGATTTTTATATGTCATTTTACACACCCTATTTTTTCATTGATATATTTCACATTTAACTGAACTAAATTGATATTAAAATGAAAAAATCTAAAATAGCAATTGCCAAATGAAAAAAATATAACTAACCTGGCAATGCCATCAGTTAGCCCCATAATTATCTCAGGTTATAAAATATAATGTTTAACAAATGATTTGATTGAATCGTTAATTTTTTATTTTAATATCCTTATCACTGGACACTTAACACTTAAGAAAACACTTCTCTGCCCGTCGTCTCTGTACGGTACACAAGCTTCAGACTAACACGGGGAGTGACACCAGCAGCTCCAACACCTCCATTATGAACATCTTTCATTTTTCTGAGATAGGGCTTTTTTAAAAAGGGGGAAAACAGGATCTAACTCTTGTTTGCTCTTTAAAGTTTTATTGTTTTAGCATTTTATAGAGAGAGCGAGCACCAGCATACTCAGGAGAACTGCTAAAAGTAAAAGGCCTCAAGCTACCCACCGCCTAGCTAATAGGATAAAGCAGAGGTATAGAAATTTTTGTCTGATTGCTCACTTTCCATGTTTTAGAGTACTGCTACTCTCAAGAGCATATATTCATGTTCTTTCTACTTCGAGTTTTATTACTTCTTTTGTATTATTTAATACATCTAAAGACACTTCCAAAAGACAAATTTTTCCATTTTGAAAAAGTAATGGTTTGGAACCTGATAAAATACATTAATGTTCACAGTGTGTTTTTTTGCAAAGGTGATAGAGTAAAAGCGCTATAAAACAATTAGGCGCATGATCTTAAAGACATTAATATGTCAAATAGAATAAGATGTTTAAAAAGTCAACAAAAATAATATCCTAGGAAAGGTCAGATGGAAATAGGCATGCATAAAGACCACATTTCTCATTCGGGTCTTTGACTAGATCTTTAATGCAGAGATGGGGAAGAAAATATAAAAATGAGAGAAAGTACCATTCTTACCTCAATAACTTGAAATTAGAAGTATATGATGTTTAACTCTAGGTGCTATGGACATTAAGTGTCGACTCATCCTAACAACTGGATGGTATATATGCTTCATTATTCAGATTATAATTTTTTTCTCCTGAATTCTAAGTCCTACCAGGGTCAATACTTTTTAGTAAACAAGAAACTGATATGCTTGGCCTACTGAACAAGGCCAGGCATTTTTTAAAGTGTCATACACATTTCTGAAATCCACAATACATCAATTTTTAATACATCTACTCTCTCAGCTCCATTAAAAAGATGGTAGGGGAAAGATTTTAGAGTAATTAATGATATAGTTAGCTGCTAAATATTAATAGGAATCGTAGTCTTGCATAAAATATAACATATAAACCTTGCCAATACAGACGCACCAGTAATTAAAGTTGAATATGTAATTACACTGATTTATAAGACAGGCAAAAAGTTACACTTTACTAGCTTCTATGTAAACTGTGGGTAACAGTTAAACTTTGCATTTTACGGTTTATAAAAACGGGCAGTATCTTGACTACAGTTCATAAATGGTTTAGAGACCTGTAATAGTAGTAAAAATTACGACAACTTATTCCATCATGAATATTTTTATTGCACCATACAAACCAAACTGTGATAATGACCCATAAGATGTAGACTCATCTTAGATAGTGCTCTACCCCCAAGAGAATGTTAGTACTAAAGAATTTGCAGAGGACTGCTGGTATAACAATTATGGGACATTGGAGAGAATCTAAAAGATGCATTAAAACTGATTTTGATACACTTCCTCATATCATGAACACGGGGCAATTTAACTCCCCTTAAAACTGTATTTTGGACTTCGATACCACTAGAAACTTCAGACGAATACCAAATGTTACAAGCATATGCGTCCGGGCCCTTCCGGTTGCCCGGCCTGCTAACCCACTTAC